CGTTTCCTTGACTTGTTGTCTCCTCTCTTTCAGGATGGTAATGTTCTAGTGGTGTCAGGCCTACGCCCTGCTAGTTTGTACAGGCTGGAGGTACAGGCCATCACAACGGAGGGTGAAGGTCCTACAGCCAGGAGAACCTTCCAGACCCCTGGATACCAAAGCACCTTACTGCACAGTAAGAGGTTAAAACAATCAAAAGGAAAACACTCATAGAAAAATCTTTTGTTTGGACATTTTGGTAAAAGCACAATTACATTTTAAAATCAGTGTATTCTGAGCCTGCATCACACAGTGCAAATGTCTGATACTGGCCAAAAAGTCACACCATACTTTATCATATTTTTAGCTTGACTGGTGATGCACAACATATTTCCTTTTAAGTGTCCTACATGGTCAGTAAGTCAAGACAAATGTAAAAAGGCAAAAATACTTGAAATAAAAAAATGGTGTTGAAAATAAAAGCAAAGCCAAGGTTCCTGATATATCTGGAAGTCCATCCATGTGTATATGTTGTCACTGGGAAGTAGCAAAGCCTGATTGAATAACGTCATGGCTAAAGTGCCAAACACACACTCGTTATGCTGTATTTTCATCCTCTGTAGTCACCAGCTGTAGGTGTTTGCCTCACTCCTACTGTTAGGCTCTGGAGTTTGAATAAAAATGCCCAAAGCTGCAGGAAGGTGTCTTATAAATGAATATAACAGAAACAGAGATATAATGAGTGTGCCTGCCATTGGGGTTTAAGCTTTAGTAGCAGCATCCAGTCACAAAGCACAATAGTGGAGCTTCAGTTAATAGTTAGCCTGAGCCAAGCTAGCTGTCTGACACTTCCTGTGCTCATACAGGACAGTAATAACTCACCACTGTTATAAACTCGACCCTCACTTTGATGTTGATCAGCAGCCTGCACAAGACTAGAAAAAGCTCGCTTTAATTTGCCTTACAAGTTAAATATTTGTATCCACGAACGCCTGAAACTGTATTGTCTATGAGCAGACTAGTCTTTGGGAGTCTTCGCTGCAGGGGAGAAACACCTTGTTCTGTATTGGCAACGTTGTGCTATTATAAGTTACGTTTCCTTTTTTGAAACCAGAACCAAAACTTTATGTTAACATTAAAATATATATGCTTGCATTCAGGATCAAGGCTGAGGAAGCATCCTGAGCAACCAATCACTGACAGACACTGAGACCAGACGGCCTCATGACCCGAGCTCCCAAAACAATAAAGAAGAAGCCACAGAGCAGCGGTGCTAACTGACAAATGGCAGCTTGTCAGTTACAACAAGACAACAAGTGACAGCTGACAGACATGTGAATCCCTCCCTGCAGTTTTACCGAACTTGACCCTCAAGTAAGCATGTATACAACATATTTCAGTAAAAGTACGGACACAACTTTCACCAACAGGAAGATAAACAAAAAGCTCTCTTTGTGTTTTCAGTTCTTTTTACTTCTGTTTGCTACAGTTATATGTAAAAAATAAATACAAAAGCATGAAATGGATTTAGTCGACAACGACATCAGAGATGAAAAAGATATATTAACATCACGAACGAGCACTGATAGTAAACTGGATCCTAAAAACTGGATCTTAAGGATTCGAGTTCAGGATTAGTTTACTGATATGTACTAAGGTCTGATCAACAGTTTTGATACAATTGCATGTAATGATAGAAATTAATGTCAGTGTCACTGAGTGGTGCCATTAAGAGCTCTTGCAACTTATTTTCTAAAAAGATTTGTTGTTTTATAAATGACATGTAGCTCCTCCCACTCTCTCTTCAAATGCTGTATATACTTTGTGTCTCTATTTATTGGTTGTGGTATATTTGTGCCTGGACTGTTACATCTGCGTTGCATGTGTGTGCGCACATTTGTTCACCTCTCTGTGCAAAGATGGTTTTAACTACAGATACGTGTCAAATACAGCGCGCTGCACCCATGTACAGGTTT